ATAAGGTTGACGTGATGGCGACCTATGAAATACTGAGAGGAGTTGACGGGGTGGATAGGGACAAGATGTTTCAGAGATGGAACAACGATGGGGGGGGGGGTTACAACCGGAAGTTGAAGACTTAGATGAGTCAAAGGGATGTTAGGAAGTTCTTCAGTCATAGAGTTATCAGGAAGTGGAACAATCTGGAGAGTGATGTAGTGGAGGCAGGATCAATACATAGCTTTAAGAAGAGATACGATAAAGCTCATGAAGCAGGGAGTGGACCTAGTAGCGACCAGCGAAGAGGAGGGGCCAGGAGCTGTGAATCGACCCCAGCATTGTTTAAAAATAGACCAAGTGTCTATTGACAAGTGCCTTTGACAACTAATAACTACACAAAAAAGTGGTAATCCGTTATTTAGAGCAAAGTAACGCATTCAGGTACACATACATAGTTACATAAATTATCATACATAGTAACATGTGTGTAAATTACCTAAGATAACCCCACAAAATGTCAAAGTGACTTATATATACCGGCGAATCTTTAATAATAATAATTGACTTATTTTCATTGTGGTCGTTGTAATATTTTATTATTTAACCCTTAAAAATTAAAACAGCTATGTAACTCAACTGTGTGAAAATCAGTCTCAATAAAAAGTTATATACCAGGAATAAGGTAGACTTATTTATATTAAAGATAGGATCAGATCACAGTAATAGGCACATGAATATTACAGTAATAGGTATGTGAATATTACAGTAATAGGTATGTGAATATTACAGTAATATGTATGTGAATATTACAGTAATAGGTATGTGAATATTACAATAATAGGTATGTGAATATTACAGTAATATGTATGTGAATATTACAAATATAGGTATGTGAATATTACAATAATAGGTATGTGAATATTACAGTAATAGGTATGTGAATATTACAGTAATATGTATGTGAATATTACAATAATAGGTATGTGAATATTACAGTAATAGGTACATGAATATTACAGTAATAGGTATGTGAATATTACAGTAATATGTATGTGAATATTACAATAATAGGTATGTGAATATTACAGTAATAGTAATGATATTACAGTAATAGGTATGTGATATTACATAATAGGTATGTGAATATTGCAGTAATAGGTACATGAATATTACAGTAATAGGTACATGACTATTACAGTAATAGGTACATGAATATTACAGTAATAGGTACATGACTATTACAGTAATAGGTATGTGAATATTACAATAATAGGTATGTGAATATTACAGTAATAGGCACATGAATATTACAGTAATAGGTACATGAATATTACAGTAATAGGTATGTGAATATTACAATAATAGGTATGTGAATATTACAGTAATAGGTATGTGAATATTACAGTAATATGTATGTGAATATTACAGTAATAGGTATGTGAATATTACAGTAATAGGTATGTGAATATTACAGTAATAGGTACATGACTATTACAGTAATAGGTATGTGAATATTACAGTAATAGGTACATGAATATCACAGTAATAGTTACATGTATATTACAGTAATAGGTACATGAATATTACAGTAATAGGTACATGAATATCACAGTAATAGTTACATGTATATTACAGTAATAGGTACGTGAATATTACAGTAATAGGTACATGAATATTACAGTAATAGGTATGTGAATATTACAATAATAGGTATGTGAATATTACAGTAATAGGTACATGAATATTACAGTAATAGGTACATGAATATTACAGTAATAGGTACATGAATATTACAGTAATAGGTACATGAATATCACAGTAATAGTTACATGTATATTACAGTAATAGGTACATGAATATTACAGTAATAGGTACATGAATATCACAGTAATAGTTACATGTATATTACAGTAATAGGTACATGAATATCACAGTAATAGTTACATGTATATTACAGTAATAGGTACATGAATATTACAGTAATAGGTACATGAATATCACAGTAATAGGTACATGAATATCACAGTAATAGTTACATGTATATTACAGTAATAGTTACATGTATATTACAGTAATAGGTACATGAATATTACAGTAATAGGTACATGTATATTACAGTAATAGGTACATGAATATTACAGTAATAGGTACATGAATATCACAGTAATAGGTACATGTATATTACAGTAATAGGTACATGAATATTACAGTAATAGGTACATGTATATTACAGTAATAGGTACATGAATATCACAGTAATAGGTACATGTATATTAGCTAGACAAGAAACCACTTATTTTTTTCATCATTAACAGATCTGTTTTTTACTTAATAAAGTCCACCGTGTGGGTGAAACATTAATAAATGATGGCAGTTTACAGCACTTGTATATCTGTTTCCAAAACCTGTTGTTACTGACTCAGGTGAGTCAGCCTGTGTGTGTGAGTACCAGCGGTGAGTCAGTCTGTGTCTGTGTGAGTACCAGCGGTGAGTCAGTCTGTGTCTGTGTGAGTACCAGCGGTGAGTCAGTCTGTGTCTGTGTGAGTACCAGCGGTGAGTCAGCCTGTGTGTGTGAGTACCAGCGGTGAGTCAGTCTGTGTCTGTGAGTACCAGCGGTGAGTCAGTCTGTGTGTGAGTACCAGCGGTGAGTCAGTCTGTGTCTGTGTGAGTACCAGCGGTGAGTCAGTCTGTGTGTGTGAGTACCAGCGGTGAGTCAGTCTGTGTGTGTGAGTACCAGCGGTGAGTCAGTCTGTGTCTGTGTGAGTACCAGCGGTGAGTCAGTCTGTGAGTACCAGCGGTGAGTCAGTCTGTGTTGTGTGAGTACCAGCGGTGAGTCAGTCTGTGTGTGTGAGTACCAGCGGTGAGTCAGTCTGTGTCTGTGTGAGTACCAGCGGTGAGTCAGTCTGTGTCTGTGTGAGTACCAGCGGTGAGTCAGTCTGTGTGTGTGTGAGTACCAGCGGTGAGTCAGTCTGTGTCTGTGTGAGTACCAGCGGTGAGTCAGTCTGTGTTGTGTGAGTACCAGCGGTGAGTCAGTCTGTGTCTGTGTGAGTACCAGCAGTGAGTCAGTCTTGTAGTCAGTTAGTCAGTACCAGTGAGTCAGTCAGTCCTAGTAGTCAGTTAGTCAGTCAGTCTCAGTCAGTCAGTCCAGTCAGTCAGTCAGTCAGTCTGTCAGTAGTCCAGTCAGTCTCAGTCTGTCAGTCAGTCCAGTCTCAGTCAGTCGATGGTCAGTTCACAGTCAGTCATCAGTCTGTCAGTAGTCACGTCAGCTCAGTCAGTCAGTTCACAGTCAGTCTCAGTAGTAGTCCACGTCAGTCTCGTGTCAGTAGTCCAGTTCAGTCTCAGTTCAGTCAGTTCAGTCAGTCCAAGTGACTAAACTCAACTAAAGTCAGTAGTCAGTTCTAGTTTAGTCAGTTTCCAGCAGTCAGTCATTCAGGAAGTCAGATCAGATAGTTTAGGTAATCAGTTCAGCTGAGCTAATAATACAACGTAAACATCCCAACAAGAGAAGTGTATGTTAGTTTGTTTGTTTATGTTAATACGTTTCGACACATCAGTCCTATACAAAGCAGACACTGTGAAGTATCAGATGGAGTTTGAGGTAATCAGTACACTCACCTGAGTTTATTACATGACTCCAGACTGAGGACTGATTACCTCAAACTACTACTGATCTTCACAGTTCTTCTTTGTATAGGTCTGATGAATCCACTGTGTGGCGAAACGTTTCCTCAGTAAAGATACCCAAGTGTTGCACATGTGTATAATTTATCAAGTTTATTTAGGTACAGATACACATAAGTATAGTTAAATTACCTAAGATAACCAAAAAAAGTCAGTCGAATGTGACTTATTGCTGTTTGGAGTCCTTTTGTGTATTTGTTTCTAGCTTTATACACAGCAAAATTTGATATTAATAATAGACATCATGGTAAAGCAAACACAATGTGAGTTATGGTGTTTTAATAAGATATTTACTAGAGACTTTATATTACTACCAGAACTGACCTGAAATGCCCCGGCATGATAGTGGCTTTCCTTGTACTTATTAAACCAAAATTGTCATTACACATTATAACCTTTACAAGGAAATAAAATCTTTATTGGTTGTAGTGAAGGGCTGGGTTGGTAGCGCACTCAGCTCAAACACTGAGGTCCACGATTTGATCTCCGGTACGGGTGGACACGTTAGGATGTGTTTCCTTAAGACACCTGCTGCCCCTGTTCACCTAGCAGTAAGTAGGTACCTGGGCGTTAAGGACCTCAGTGGAAATAAGTCATTTTGTCTGACTTTTTTTTTTTTTGGGTTATCCTAGGTAATCTTCACATATGCTGCTATGTATGAATTTATGTAACTGTATTTATGTGGACCTGTACCTGAATGAACTTACTTATTTAGACTGGTGTAGGTCGCATCCTGAGGGACAAAATTGACCTAGGTTGCCTGAAATACTCTGCATAATAAGTGGCATTCTATGTAGTATATGTCATTGATGTCAGCTATGGTCTGTATAAGTTGTATCATGTATGTGTAGAAATAAAGATTATTATTATTATTATTATTATTATTATTATTATTATTATTTATTATTATTATTATTATTATTATATTATAAAGAATTGGAGCTACTTTTCAATGCTTCTGATTATATATATCCACCTGGCTATTCATATTCCCCAGATTGGTACACGAGTTTAGCACTTCGTGTTTTTTTTTTTCACACATCAGCCGTTTCCCACCAAGGCAGGGTAACCCAAAAAGAATATGCATATATAATATATAATTATATGCATATACATGTATAATAATTGACATAACATATTATATTACCTACAGGTAACTACCAGTAATTATGCTGTACTTTTATTATTCCCTGAGTTACATGCTTAAATGTTGGATTCCTGCATAGTAACCAGCAGCCATTACATTTATTCATTTCTGTATGTTTGCATAATTTTTCCCATTAAACATAGCTATCGTTTATACATAATGTTTTAACACCACTTTATTTTTCTTCCAGGCTGAGCATCCTTTAATATTGGAAACTTTTCTGTGGATAATGTCTGTAATATTTGCCAGTGAGAAGAGTGCCATTATTGACCATGAATCCTGGATAGTGCAGTTAATAAGGAGACATAAATTTGCTTTACATGAACATGAATTTTCAGAACATAAAAGGATAAAATTTCAAGATTTATTTGATCTTCGAACACCATATATGATGGTAATCTATTGAATACCTTTCAGTACAGTATAAATTTTCTGTGTTTATGTCATCCTTATATTGGGCAGTATGCTAGCTAAATATATTTCAGTAATTTCATTAACATGGAATCTGCCTCTTATTTTTAATATTTAATCCATAACTTAGAATTTAATTCAATTAAGCAGCTAGCTTTATCATATATTGCAAATTCTGATTGTCAAATTGTATTGCAAGCTTCTGTTGTATGTAGACACCAAAAAGCTTTTTCTTTTGCTGGGTTTCTAGTCATTCTGGCATTTCAGACAATGGACTTCAGATTCCAGTACATGTTCAGCAGTTTGGAACATGCCAATCTTATATATATATATGCAAAATTACTGCGACTATCATTGGTCCAGCAATAAACAAGCTATTATCCATAGAACCACATCCATATTACAGGCTATCCTATCTCCATCATTGTTGCTTGTGGGAGGCAATTCTTGCATGACTACACATCTTACTTACCCATGGTCATCTCATAGAGGGAAATACTGTTCCTCTCTGCAAAGTTTACAAACACGCATAATATGTGTATCTCAGAGTCCATTGTGTACATTTTTGGCCTCTCTCTTTTGCAGCTGGCTGTACTTAATCTGAAAATGCCATCTTTAATATAGATGCTATCTATTTTTTGTCAGAAACTTCTTTTACACATTGTTTTTTAGTTAGTGTATTCTTATAGCTTGCCTTGCCCTTTGTCCTGTACTACTGCTCATGGCATCAAATGTAGGTTCTCTCCTGAGTGACCTTTACAGATTTAAGCACTTTAGTTTATATTATTATAATTCAACCTCAAAAAGGTGTACCATACTAATGAAGTCAGCACAAAAAGATATTTGGGTAGGGTAGGTTTTCCAAAGATAAAAATATTTTTTTTCAAACATTCTTTTTTTTTTTTTGGGGGGGGGGAGAGTTTTCATATTTCAATATACACTTTTGATATATATTCCTACTGATTTTTTTTTTTTTTAACTTTTTGCTTTAGGATGCTCAAGCAGAGAAAGTAGCCAGACAACTTGAAGAAGATGGTAACTTTACTGCAGAACCAAAGAGGAAGAAGAAAAAGAATGGTATGTATAATTACAGTACAATTTTTTCCACTTTTTGTATTGAGATTAGTATAAAAAACAAAAGCCACTTGCCAAGATAAAGTTCTGTAAGCAAGAAGAATGATTGCCTACTAAGACATGCCTGGCTCTTATGGTGTACAGTGTCCTGTAGATTACTCTAGCTCATCTTATTCTGTTCTAACAAAACAATGGGAGGGAAAAAATAGGCTGCAAGTTTCAAAAGATGGTAAAGTTTATCCTGAACATTGGTGGTCAAGTTTTGAAAGGATTAAGATCTGCCATCAGCACAACACTAGGGTAGGTGAACACAAGTTTTCAGTACTCCATCAGGCACCTTTATGCAGCTTTAAAAGCCTATAATGCAATGCTGCACTTCGAGTTGAGTCATAAGTGTTCACTAGTGAATCTGTCACATAAATAATTTTCAGGAACTTTCTAATACTGTAGCGGAGTTATGACAGTTTTTTTTTTTTAACTCTGGCTATTTCCCACCGAGGTAGTGTGACCCAAAAAAGAAATGCTTTCACCATCACGTCAGAGACATGCCGATACTACAGTTCAGATGCCTTTCCAAACTGCAGATATCTCCACCCCTTCTTCAGAGGGGTGGAGATATTTAATCAGAGTAAAGTGCTAAACCCATGGGGATCATATTGCACCTGAGGAATGGAAAACATTAATGTTCGAGCCAAGGAAAGGGAGAATAAGTCTACTTTCTTGGATCAAAAGCCTCTCATCAGCATGAAACATCTGCCATGAGGGAAGTTTATAATACAGGACACCAGTACCAGTAGCCATTTTTATTATTTGCATTACCATTCTTATATGATTTTTTTTTAAACTGTGTTGGTGGCCAAATTGAAATATTAAACACACAACCTTTAGAAAGACATTACCTTCATGATTGAACATCAATTTTAGATCACATTTATACACATGAAGGAAGTGTGTCTGTATACTGTACCAGATTTGATATTTTTCTATGGTATCTGCATTTTTATTTTAATTTTTTATAGTGTACAATATTAGGTATTTTTATGACTTAAATATTGAATACATATGTGTATTTGAATATTACAGAACTTGTGGTACTAAATAAAGAAGAGAACGAGGAAGTGAAGCACATCCTGCAAGTGTTCATGTCTCTTCAGTTAAGACCAGAGTTTAAACAAAATTTTCAGTTTATTCCAAAAGCTGATGATTATAGAAATAATAATCAGCAAATACGAGAGCTCAGAAAAAGGTAACACTTAATGTAAAGAATAAAAATCACAATACAATGGCTGAAACAATGCACAAATATCCAGTATTTAGCAGAGGCTCCTTATGATGGATTTATAGTCCATCCTGAACTATTATCAAGCCAGTTGTGACTTGACAGTTGATAGTTAATTTGATATTGTCAGGTCAGTTGTGACTTGACTGTGGTTCAGGTTGGACCAAAATGTTCTCATAAGGTTCTTCTGAGCGTGGATTATTTGTGAATGAATAATTAATATCTCAGTTTTTAACGGTAAAGTACAGTACTACAGTAATTTTTGTTTTAGTTAAATATTTTAATGTATTTCCATTAAAATATGGATGAGTTTTAATATTATATTTTAACAGCATATCTAAAAATGATAGCCTAATTATCTTCAAACTGAATTCATATAACTAGTAACATTTTTGACAAATTATTGAAGATTTTGTTTTAATTCAATAAATATCTGATTCATTTTTTTTCCTGATGCATATATATATTTTCACAGTAAACACAACACAAGTTGATGTTTTGCCAGATTAAGTTATCATAAACCAAGCACATGCATGTGCATATTTTAAGCATTGGTAATACATGTATTACAGGTATCACTGTTAAATATATAAAAGGGGGTAGGGGAGTTTCGGTGGAGGGAAATAAATGGGATTAAATCTGGAGTATCTGGGAGAGTTAAAGCAAAGGAAGGGGTAGCAGTAATGTTGAAGGATCAGTTATGGAAGGAGAAAAGAGAATATGAATGTGTAAATTCAAGAATTATGTGGATTAAAGTAAAGGTTGGATGCGAAAAGTGGGTCATAATAAGCGTGTATGCACCTGGAGAAGAGAGGAATGTAGAGGAGAGAGAGAGATTTTGGGAGATGTTAAGTGAATGTATAGGAGACCTTTGAATGAAGTGAGGAGAGTCATTGTGGTAGGGGATCTGAATGCTAAAGTAGGAGAAACTTTTAGAGAGGGTGTGGTAGGTAAGTTTGGGGTGCCAGGTGTAAATGATAATGGGAGCCCTTTGATTGAACTTTGTATAGAAAGGGGTTTAGTTATAGGTAATACATATTTTAAGAAAAAGAGGATAAATAAGTATACAAGAATATGATGTAGGGCGAAATGACAGTAGTTTGTTGGATTATGTATTGGTAGATAAAAGACTGTTGAGTAGACTTCAGGATGTACATGTTTATAGAGGGGCCACAGATATATCAGATCACTTTCTAGTTGTAGCTACACTGAGAGTAAAAGGTAGATGGGATACAAGGAGAATAGAAGCATCAGGGAAGAGAGAGGTGAAGGTTTATAAACTAAAAGAGGAGGCAGTTAGGGTAAGATATAAACAGCTATTGGAGGATAGATGGGCTAATGAGAGCATAGGAAATGGGGTCGAAGAGGTATGGGGTAGGTTTAAAAATGTAGTGTTAGAGTGTTCAGCAGAAGTTTGTGGTTAGAGGAAAGTGGGTGCGGGAGGGAATAGGAGCGATTGGTGGAATGATGTAAAGAGAGTAGTAAGGGAGAAAAAGTTAGCATATGAGAAGTTTTTACAAAGTAGAAGTGATACAGGAGGGAAGAGTATATGGAGAAAAAGAGAGAGGTTAAGAGAGTAGTGAAGCAATGTAAAAAGAGAGCAAATGAGAGAGTGGGTTGAGATGTTATCAACAAATTTTTGTTGAAAATAAGAAAAAGTTTTGGAGTGAGATTAACAATTTAAGGAAGCCTAGAGAACAAAGGGGATTTGTCATTTTAAAAATAGGAGAGGAGAGTTATTAAATGGAGAGTTAGAGGTATTGGGAAGATGGAGGGATATTTTGAGGAATTTTTTAAAATGTTGATGAAGATAGGGAAGCTGTGATTTCGTTTTATAGGGCAAGGAGGAATAACATCTTGTAGGAGTGAGGAAGGGGCCAGTTGTGAGTGTGGGGAAGTTCTTTAAGGCAGTAGGTAAAATGAAAGGGGGTAAGGCAGCCGGGATTGATGGGATAAAAGATAGAAATGTTAAAAGCAGGTGGGGATATAGTTTTGGAGTGGTTGGTGCAATTATTTAATAAATGTAGGGAAGAGGGTTAAGGTACCTAGGGATTGGCAGAGAGCATGCATAGTTCCTTTGTATAAAGGCAAAGGGGACAAAAGAGAGTGCAAAAATTATAGGGGGATAAGTCTGTTGAGTATACCTGGTAAAGTGTATGGTAGAGTTATTATTGAAAGAATTAAGAGTAAGACGGAGAATAGGATAGCAGATGAACAAGGAGGCTTTAGGAAAGGTAGGGGGTGTGTGGACCAGGTGTTTACAGTGAAACATATAAGTGAACAGTATTTAGATAAGGCTAAAGAGGTCTTTGGATTTGGAAAAGGCGTATGACAGGGTGGATAGGGGGGCAATTGTGGTAGATGTTGCGGGTTTTAGGGTGTAGGAGGTGGGTTTAAACTGAAAGCAGTAAAGAGTTTTTACGAGGATAGTGAGGCTCAAGTTAGAGTATGTAGGAAAGAGGGGAATTATTTCCCAGTAAAACTAGGCCTTAGACAAGGATGTGTGATGCCCACCATGGTTGTTTTAATATATTTATAGATGGGGTTGTAAGAGAAGTAAATGCGAGGGTCTTGGAAAAGGGCGTGGAGTTAAAAGATAAAGAATCGCACATAAAGTGGAGTTTTCACAGTTGCTCTTTGCTGATGACACTGTGCTCTTGGGGGGATTCTGAAGAGAAGTGCAAAGATTGGTGGGTGAATTTGGTAGGGTGTGCAAAAAAGAAAAATTAAAGTGAATACAGGAAAGAGTAAGGTAATGAGGATAACAAAAAGATTGGTTAAAGAAAGATTGGATATCAGATTGGAGGGAGAGAGTATGGAGGAGGTGAATGTATTCAGATATTTGGGAGTGGACGTGTCAGCGGATGGGTCTATGAAAGATGAGGTGAATCATAGAATTGATGAGGGGAAAAGGGTGAGTGGTGCACTTAGGTGTCTGTGGAGACAAAGAACTTTGTCCTTGGAGGCAAAGAGGGGAATGTATGAGAGTATAGTTTTACCAACACTCTTATATGGGTGTGAAGCATGGGTGATGAATGTTGCAGCGAGGAGAAGGCTGGAGGCAGTGGATTATTATTATAGTAATCAAGGGGGAAGCGCTAAACCCGGAGGATTATACAGCGCCTGGGGGGGATGTGGAAGGCATTCAGGTTTAATTCGGGGAACTGGAGCACAGATCCAATTCCCTAAATCAAGAGCCCCTCACCAACATCAAGGAACCTTCCTTGAGGGGGAGGCAGTGGAGATGTCATGTCTGAGGGCAATGTGTGGTGTGAATATAATGCAGAGAATTTGTAGTTTGGAAGTTAGGAGGAGGTGCGGGATTCCCAAAATGTTGTATAGGGCGAGGAGGGTTTTTGAGGTGGTTCGGACATGTAGAGAGAATGGAGCTAAACAGAGTGACTTCATGAGTGTATCAGTCTGTAGTGGAAGGAAAGCGGGGTAGGGGTCGGCCTAGGAAAGGTTGGAGGGGGGGGGTTTAAAGGAGGTTTTTGTGCGAGGTGCTTGGACTTCCAGCGGGCAGGGTGTGAGCGTGTTTGATAGGAGTGAATGGAGACAAATGGTTTTAATACTTGAGTGCTGTTGGAGTGTGAGTAAAGAAACATTTATGAAGGGGTTCAGGGAAACCGGCAGGCCGGACTTGAGTCCTGGAGATGGGAAGTACAGTGCCTGCACTCTGAAGGAGGGGTGTTAATGTTGCAGTTTAAAAACTGTAGTGTAAAGCACCCTTCTGGCAAGACAGTGATGGAGTGAATGATGGTGAAAGTTTTTCTTTTTCGGGCCACCCTGCCTTGGTGGGAATCGGCCAGTGTGATAATAAAAAAAAAATATATATATATTTGTAAAACATTATTAATAATTTAAATATTGGTACACAATTACTGTAGAAGACCAATAAAAAGGTAAAAAATTAACACAATACTATACTGTAGTTTTATGTAAATTATAATAAAAAACAATATTAACGTACTGTATGCTGTAATTAGCTCATACACAAGCTATATAAAAAGAATAACGTAATTGCTTATCCTATTTTCATTGTAATTCATTTTTAAAATGTAATTAAAATGTGTTGTAGATTTACAGAAGCATCCAACACAGTATTGCCACAGCTGGACCAACATTACGATGGCAGTGCATTTGATGTTACAGTGGTGAATGGCATCAAGTATATACTGCCTCCTAATGTCTGCTATGTTTGTGACAATGTTACTGCTATCATGTCACACTTTTCAGAATTTAAGTTTGACTTGGTTGTAATGGATCCTCCATGGCAGAACAAGTATGTCAGGAGACGGACCCATAACCATGGAAGTCATCATGGGTAAGGTTTTATATTATATTTATTTATTAATTCTTTAATACAGTGGACCCCCGCATAACGATCACCTCCGAATGCGACCAATTATGTAAGTGTATTTATATAAGTGCGTTTGTACGTGTATATTTGGGGGTCTGAAATGGACTAATCTACTTCACAATATTCCTTATGGGAACAAATTCGGTCAGTACTGGCACGTGAACATACTTCTGGAGTGAAAAAATATCGTTAACCGGGGGTCCACTGTACATTGGCCATTTCCCACCAAGGCAGGAAGATCCAAAGAAGGCAAAAAATATTCACCGTCACTCATTCTCCAGCTGTTTTTCCTGAACTGTGCAGACATCACAATTCAAATGACCCACCATACAGTATAACATTCAGAGAGGGAGTACTAAATTATTATTATAATCAAAAAGAAGCGCTAAGCCACAAGGGCTATACAGTGGGGGAGTACCAAAGCCATAGGGGTCATAGAGCATCTTGGGATGGAAGGCACCTGCATTTGATCTAAGGAAAAAGAGAGCTCAATTTCCTTGAACCAGGAGTTTAAGGACTCTTAGTCAAGAAAATGGAGCTAGCCTCTCCTTCCCATTCCCCAGGAGCTCTATGACTGTAACATCTCTGCCAATCCTTCAGAGTGGAGCATGTAATTTCTTTAATGTTATCCCCTTTTGTATATAGTATACAAATTTTAGTCATTTTGTTTTTAAAGTTTTAATGTAATTTATTTCACATAGTTTATATTCTTGAAAATAACATCAATTTAGCTATTAAAATATATGTATAAATTATTTTTTATTGAGAATGAGATTTTTCTGTATTTTGCATGAAGCTTAGGTCACTATTTATGTATAGTGTAATGACATGATTATAGTAGATTATTGATTATTTGGCTTCCAACATTATCTGACTGTCTTGTTTCATCCAACTAAAAACATTTAGAAAAAAAATTGCAAAAAAAAAAAAATTGTGATCATATGGTAGTGTTGAAAATCTGGTGTAGACTTTTGCCTGATGGCATAAGATAATGAGTGATCTGAGATGGTAAAAAGAAAAGGTGGTGTCGAGGAAAGGGCAGCAGTAAAAAGAAAGAGGAAAAGCACATTTGATGTAGGAAATTGGAATCAGTTAAGAAACTGTAAAAAGAGGCAGCAATAAAGATCATTGGGGAGGAGGGCTAAAAGTAAACATATCAAGGGGATGAAGATGGTGTCGGAAGTGAAGCCGCTCTACTCTGATAAATGGTACAGTTTATCGAGAGATGCTGGACTGTCACTACAACCTGATAACATAGATAAAAGGTTCGGAGAACTGACAAGTTGTGTATGACAGGACTGTAGATAAATGGTTCAGAGAACCAAAAAGTTGGTTTTCTGAGTCATTTATTTACATTCCTGTCAGACACACCCTGATAATTCCTGCAAAGCATCACTGGGCATATCATATTTTAATCTTCAGTGTTTATTTTCTTTCTTCTTTTTTTTTGTCTTGGTTTCCAGCACATTCATATTGTTTTTGTAGGTCATATTTAGGTTTAATGTATATTATGAATGATGTTCTTAGTACAGTATACTCTATATGTGTACTACAAGGACCAGTTCTAACTCATAGATTGTGAAAAGTAACACCACATAAGGATTTATTATTTATTGCACACAGCATTTGTCTTGGAATGAGTTTTATAGTCTCATGAAAGAAATACTGAAAGACAAGCCTGTATACTCCTACAGACTTTACTTAAGAGAAGTATTTTTATTATTACTATTACCACCACACCAGCTCTCTCCCTCTAAGGAGGGCACCCTCAAAAAAATGCAAACACATTCACCACCAGTTTAATAGTTGTTTTGCCAAGTGTGCATACCTCTCAATTCAAATGACCATCTGAACAGCAATATCCTCACTCCTTTGGAGTGCAGCCATTACTACTCGCCACGACCCTAGTGGGTTTAGCACTTGGTTATGATTGTAATAATAATAATAATTGTACTTCCCACCCTTTTTTTTTTATATAATATGTCAGCCGTTTCCTACCGAGGCAGGATGATGCCTTTTTATATAAGTATAATTAAAGAACTCAAAGTACTGTACACTTAGCTATGCTTCAGAAGAATATTTTGTCCAGCTTAAAAAAATTATATGTTTATCCTTTCCCCTTCTCTTAGATATGATATGTTGACTGTGGGAGAGATCCTTCAATTTCCAGTAGGTGATCTACTGAATGATGGAGCTCTCCTGATGATCTGGTGCACCAACAATAGCTCTCTTTTACAAGAACTTCTCCAAGGATTAAGTGGTTGGAATGTGGAACTTGCTGCAACATGGTATTGGCTCAAGGCATGTTGTATTTTGACCTCAGTGAAGAAATATCCATACAAGAAATGTTAAAATTGTTTTGAAGAATTTAATTTTATACTTGCTGTTATATTGACAGGTAACTAAAGCTGGAGAACTTATCACACCACTGGAAGGAGTGACTCATTCTAAACGTCCGTATGAACGCATTTTACTGACCAGAAAGATTAAACATAAAATGGTTTTTCAAAATATTCCTGATGGTTTAGTATTTTGCAGTGTTCCGTGTGGGATACATTCTCACAAACCCCCTCTTCAAGGTAAGAGATCTAACTGAACATTACATGATACGGTATAGTGTTATTAATGTTTGTCTAGCTGCCCTTTCTTGTCACCCATAAGATAAGATAAGATAAGATTTCGTTCGGATTTTTAACCCCGGAGGGTTAGCCACCCAGGATAACCCAAGAAAGTCAATGCGTAATCGAGGACTGTCTAACTTTTTTCCATTGGGGTCCTTAATCTTGTCCCCCAGGATGCGACCCACACCAGTCGACTAACACCCAGGTACCGATTTGCTGCTAGGTGAACAGGACAACAGGTGTAAGGAAACATGTCGAAATGTTTCCACCCGCCGGGAATCGAACCCGGGCCCTCCGTGTGTGAAGCGGGAGCTTTAGCCACCAGGCCACCGGGCCTCCTGTCTATATTAAGTCATTCACTCCCATTCAAACACTGATCTTTTTGCCACACTTTCTTATTCATAGTCATGTTATTGATTTTGATGATGTACTACAAAAAATAGGCAGACTTATTCCTGCTGTAAGGTAAATGCTTTTATATCAAAATCGTGGCACTAGAAGTTTTTCTTTATACAGTCGTTTTAATCTCCACTGTGTCCCATCAAGACAGGTAGACTCAAAACAAGAAACTCTGAATAGCTATATTTCCGTATAGCTATTCAGCTACGTATATGGAAATATAGCTCAATGTACTACTGTATATCACTATTCATCTTTGAAAGAGCAGGTGCAATACTTTCTGGTTCTAGAAATTAAATCTGGTTTCCTGAATCTCTTTATAGATATTACTATGCTCGTGCTCCAACAGCATGTTAAATGCCCAAAGCTATGTTCACTCGGGCAAGTTTTTTTTTTTTTTTTTTACCAGTTCTACCCTACATAGCTTTTTTTTTTTTTTCCCCCCCAACAAGTCTGCCATCTCCCACCGAGGCAGGGTGACCCAAAAAAGAAAGAAAATCCCCAAAAAGAAAATACTTTCATCATCATCAACACTTTCACCACACTCGCACATTATCACTGTTTTTGCAGAGGTGCTCAGAATACAACAGTTTAGAAGCATACACATATAAAGATACACAACGTATCCCTCCAAACTGCCAATATCCCAAACCCCTCCTTTAAAGTGCAGGCATTGTACTTCCCATTTCCAGGACTCAAGTCCGACTATATGAAAATAACCGGTTTCCCTGAATCCCTTCACTAAATATTACCCTGCTCACACTCCAACAGATCGTCAGGTCCCAAGTACCATTCGTCTCCATTCACTCCTATCTAACACGCTCACGCACGCTTGCTGGAAGTCCAAGCCCCTTGCCCACAAAACCTCCTTTACCCCCTCTCTCCAACCCTTTCAAGGACGACCCCTACCCCGCCTTCTTTCCCCTATAGATTTATATGCTTTCCATGTCATTCTACTTTGATCCATTCTCTTTAAATGACCAAACCACCTCAACAACCCCTCTTCTGCCCTCTGACTAATACTTTTATTAACTCGACACCTTTTCCTAATTTCCACACTCCGAATTTTCTGCATAATATTTACACCACACATTGCCCTTAAACAGGACATCTCCACTGCCTCCAACCGTCTCCTCGCTGCAGCATTTACCACCCAAGCTTCACACCCATATAAGAGTGTTGGTACTACTATACTTTCATACATTCCCTTCTTTGCCTCCATAGATAACGTTTTTTGACTCCACATATACCTCAACGCACCACTCACCTTTTTTCCCTCATCAATTCTATGATTAACCTCATCCTTCATAAATCCATCCGCCGACACGTCAACTCCCAAGTATCTGAAAACATTCACTTCTTCCATACTCCTCCTCCCCAATTTGATATCCAATTTTTCTTTTCTAAATCATTTGACACCCTCATCACTTTACTCTTTTCTATGTTCACTTTCAACTTTCTACCTTTACACACATTCCCAAACTCATCCACTAACCTTTGCAATTTTTCTTTAGAATCTCCCATAAGCACAGTATCATCAGCAAAAAGTAACTGTGTCAATTCCCATTTTGAATTTGATTCCCCATAATTTATCCCACCCCTCTCCCAAACACCCTAGCATTTACTTCCTTTACAACCCCATCTATAAATATATTAAACAACCATGGTGACATTACACATCCCTGTCTAAGACCTACTTTTACCAGGAAGTAGTCTCCCTCTCTTCTACACACCCTAACCTGAGCCTCACTATCCTCATAAAAAACTCTTTACAGCATTTAATAACTTACCACCTATTCCATATACTTGCAACATCTGCCACATTGCTCCTCTATCCACTCTATCATGTGCCTTTTCTAAATCCATAAATGCAATAAAAACTTCCCTATCTTTATCTAAATACTGTTCACATATATGCTTCAATGTAAACACCTGATCTACACATCCCCTACCCACTCTAAAACCTCCTTGCTCATCCGCAATCCTACATTCTGTCTTACCTCTAATTCTTTCAATTATAACCCTACCGTACACTTTTCCTGGTATACTCAGTAAGCTTATTCCTCTATAATTTTTACAGTCTCTTTTGTCCCCTTTCCCTTTATATAAAGGGACTATACATGCTCTCTGCCAATCCCTAGTACCTTCCCCTCTTTCATACATTTATTAAACAAAAGTACCAACCACTCCAACACTATATCCCCCCCTGCTTTTAACATTTCTGTCATGATCCCATCAGTTCCAGCTGCTTTACCCCCTTTCATTTTACGTAATGCCTCACGTACCTCCCCCACACTTACATTCTGCTCTTCTTCATTCCTAAAAGATGGTATACCTCCCTGACCAGTGCATGAAATTACTGCCTCTGTTTCTTCCTTAACATTTAAAAGTTCCTCAAAATATTCTCGCCATCTACCCAATACCTCCATCTCCCCATCTACTAACTCCCCTACTCGGTTTTTAACTGACAAATCCATATTTTCCCTAGGCTTTCTTAACTTGTTTAACTCACTCCAAAATTTTTTCTTATTTTCATTAAAGTTTCTTGACAGTGCCTCTCCCACTCTATCATCTGCTCTCCTTTTGCACTCTCTCACCACTCTCTTCACCTTTCTTTTACTCTCCATATACTCTGCTCTTCTTATAACACTTCTGCTTTGTAAAAAACCTCTCATAAGCTACCTTTTTCTCTTTTATCACACCTTTACTTCATCATTCCACCAATCACTCCTCTTTCCTCCTGCCCCCACCCTCCTATAACCACAAACTTCTGCCCCACATTCTAATACTGCATTTTTAAAAACTATTCCAACCCTCTTCAACCCCCCCACTACTCATCTTTGCACTAGCCCACCTTTCTGCCAATAGTCGCTTATATCTCACCCGAACTTCCTCCTCCCTTAGTTTATACACTTTCACCTCCCTCTTACTTGTTGTTGCCACCTTCCTCTTTTCCCATCTACCTCTTACTCTAACTGTAGCTACAACTAAATAATGATCCGATATATCAGTTGCCCCTCTATAAACATGTACATCCTGGAGCCTACCCATCAACCTTTTATCCACCAATACATAATCTAATAAACTACTTTCATTACGTGCTACATCATACCTTGTATATTTATTTATCCTCTTTTTCATAAAATATGTATTACTTATTACCAAATTTCTTTCTACACATAGCTCAATTAAAGGCTCCCCATTTACATTTACCCCTGGCACCCCAAATTTACCTACTACTCCTTCCATAACATTTTTACCCACTTTAGCATTGAAATCCCCAACCACCATTACTCTCACACTTGATTCAAAACTCCCCACGCATTCACTCAACATTTCCCAAAATCTCTCTCTCTCCTCTACACTTCTCTCTTCTCCAGGTGCATACACGCTTATTATAACCCACTTTTCACATCCAATCTTTATTTTACTCCACATAATCCTTGAATTAATACATTTATAGTCCCTCTTTTCCTGCCATAGCTTATCCTTCAACATTATTGCTACTCCTTCTTTAGCTCTAACTCTATTTATAACATAGCTGTTATAAAAATCACAAGAATGAAACTACAACCAATGTAGTATATACTAATAGTTCTCATTTAAAGGCCAAGAGACATTTCATTGTGTTCAGTATATATAAGCCAATTTTTTTTTTATTATTTAGGCAACACGTTTCAGAAGCCTTCGTGAGATTAAATTATATGTGGGAGACGGCTGACTTGTTGGGAAAAAAAAAAATATGTACAGTGGACCCCCGGTTAACAAACTTTTTTCATTCCAGTAGTATGTTCAGGTGCCAGTACTGACCGAATTTTTTCCCATAAGGAATATTGTGAAGTAGATTAGTCCATTTCAGACCCCCAAACATACACGTACAAACGCACTTACATAAATACACTTACATAATTGGTCGCATTTGGAGGTGATCGTTAAGCGGGGGTCCACTGTATATATATATATATATATTATATTTATATATGTTTTATTTGTATGTACACAATTTTCATTTCTTCAACAGAACTTGTAAAAGAATATGTGGTACAACAGCCACGATGTCTGGAACTGTTTGCACGAAGTTTAGCACCTGGGTGGACATCGTATGGCTTTGAGGTGTTGCGTTTACAGCATTCTTTTCTCTATGAGAATTCAGAGCAAGATGGATGAAGCATGATTTAATCAAATTTGTATAGTCATTACATGGTTTTATAAATTTTGACTTTTTATTACATTCACAGGGGGCACTAAGCCCATATGGGTCATGCAGTGCCTGGGCAAAGAAAAGCATTTAATGCTGTTTCGCTAATTGTTTTTCCCTTATAACACATTGGCCATATCCTTCTGAGGTAGAGCGACCCAAAAAAGAAAAATGTTCACCATCGTCATACCAAAAGGGTGCTGACAACAGTTCAAATGACTGCAGGTTGACATACCCACACCTCCTTCAGGAGTCCAGACACCTTACAGCTCATTTCCAGAACTCGAGTCCATTAACCCCCTTCACAAATGTTACTTTGCTCACAATCATAAAAACTGTGCCTTCCTTTACTAACACATTCACACAAGCCTGCTGGATGTCTAAGCCCATAGCACTCAAAATTATTTACCCATGCTTTCTCTCCAACCCTTCCAGGGGTGACCCTGTCCTCCTTTCCTTCCCAGATTGGTATACTCTCATCCTTTTTTTACTCCAGCCTCTCAATATCCAAGCCATCTCAACCCCTCCTCTACTCTGAATGATACTCGGTAATACCACACCAAATCTCCACGTTTCAAATTCTCTCAATTTTCACCACACATTGCCCTCAAAAACATCTCTACTGCTTCCAACTGCCTCCTTGCTACAACATTCAAAACCTGTTACACACCCATATAACAGTGTTGGTACAACTGTACTCCAGTACATTACCCTTTTTTGCTTCTATAGTTTTTTTTTCAGATGCCTCGGTGCACCACCCACGTGTTCCCCTCATCAGTTCTGTGGTTGATCACAACTTTCATACTCATTTGCTAACAAGCTCGCTCACTCACTCCCAAATATATAAGCACTTTTTCCACATTACAATCTGATATCCAGCCTTTTATTTCCTATATTTTTTGTTACTCTCATTACCTTACTTTTTCCTACATTCACTTGTAATTTCCTTTTACATACCCTCATAAATTTGTCTACTAACCTTTGCAACTATCAGTATCCCCATGGGTTAAATGCTTCTTTTCTTGATTGGGAAGTATTCTAGTTCGATCCAAAGGGAACGGTAAATCCAGTTAAGATCAAGAGCTGCTCACTGGCATCAAGGCACTACTACCTCTTGAGGGGTGTTTGTAGAATGTGCTGTATCATGTAAAATACTGAAGAGAAATACACAAATTGCAGTAATTTCTTTGAGCATTACTATTATTATTATTAATCAAGGGGAAACGCTAAACCCATAGGATTATACACCGCCTTGGGGGGGGGGGGGGAATGTGGAAGGCATTCAGGCTTAATTCGGGGAACTGGAGCACAGATCCAATTCCCTAAATCAAGAGCCCCTCACCAACATCAAGGAACCTTCCCTGAGGGGTGAGCATTACTAAAAAATTGGGTTTTGGCCACCTTCCCCACTATTCTCTCATGAGGTTGGGGAAGACTTGAGGAATTATACCATTCTTCCCTTTACTTGGATTGTACCTGATTGCCTTCTATTCTTCAAGCATTTTATTACCCTTATGGGTTTATTATTATAATCAAAAAGAAGCGCTAAGCCACAAGGGCTATACAGCGCTGCAGGGTAGGAAGGAAGCGAGGGCATCAGGTGGCAAAAGGGAGATGGATGAGTAATAGGTTATGGATAACAGCGGGGCAGTGGATGGTGAAAGGGTAAAGGGCAGCAAGAGACTGAACTAGAAAGGGCTGAGGGGAGTGCAAAAGGTATCATCATCAGAGTTTGTGGAGTAAATCAGTCGTTGTCAAGAAGTCAATGAGAGAGTCAGGATTAAAGGAGGGTCCATCAGCAAGAAGGGAAGGTAAAGAAAGAGTAGGAGAACAAAGACGACGTTGGAGGTAAATTCTGCGTGCTCATTGATAGAGAGGGCAGTCTAACAGAATGTGGCTAATCGATACTGGAACTTGACACTGCTCACAGAGAGGAATAGGGTGCCTCTCCATGAGTGTGGCCAATGCGAAGGCGGGAGAGAGTAGTCTCCCAACCTCGGCACTGGTGACAAGACGACGACCAGTAACCTATACTCGGTTTAATAGATTGAAGTTTGTTACCGAGGAGAGTAGACCAATGTTGTTGCCAAAGGGTGTGAAGGTGGGTAGCTATTGCAGCAAATAGTCCGTAAATGGAACACCTCTATATGAAACTGGCAGGTCATGTACTGCTGACCGCGCAACAGTGTCTGCCTGTTCATTGCCCTGTACGTCAACATGACCAGGGACCCAACAAAAAACAATATCTTTGTTTGGTAGAGATGCGGCATAGCCAAAGTTGGATATGGAGGACTAAGGGGTGAGGTGTATCAAATTTCTGTATAGCCTGTAAAGCACTAAGGGAGTCTGAGACAACCACAAATGACGACACAGGCATAGATGCAATACGGATAAGTGCTGCAAGAATGGCATACAATTCAGCAGTAAAGATACTAGCCGAAGATAGTAAATGCCCTTGTATGACGCTGTCCAGAAACACTGCTGCGAATCCTACGCCGTCAGAAGACTTAGAGCCATCTGTGCACACTGCAATGGCAGGGGAAGTGCTAAGTTTTTAGGAGTTATACAGTGCCTGGGTAAAGGTTATGCAATCGTGTTTGATAAAAGGAAAGGGAGGATAGATTCAGTGTCTTGAATAAAGAGTTCACCAAACATCAAGGCACAAGCTTGATAGAGAATCTTTAATGCATTAAATGTTCATAATTTTCAGGGTTGGTTAATAATTTGTAAATAAACATTTGGCAACAAAAATTTAGTCAGAAATAAGTCCTGGAGGTAGGAAGAATAGTGCCTGCACTCCCCTGAAAGACAGGTGGGATGTTGACGTTTATGGGTTCATTTAAATCGTGGGAAAGATTGTGCACCACTGACAAGAAAGCAATCTAATGTTTCTTGGGTGTTTGGTCACCTTATCTTGGGGGGAAATTGGTGATAAAAACTGTACTGCATTAGATTGACCACTGCTGAAACCATTGCTGCTGCCACTGAAGTTACTGTTCCTGCTGCTGAAGTCATCACTGGTGCTCTTGCAATATAGTCCTCCTTTGAAGGGGGGGGGGGATGCCTTGACACTGGGTTCTTGGTCCAAATTATTATTATTATAATCAAAAAGAAGTGCTAAGCCACAAGGGCTATCTTGGTCCAAAGAACCTGAGCTACCCCTCCTCTTCCATAGACCAAACCTGCTTTGAAATTGTACTCCTGCGCTGCGCTGGACAACCCTTGTAGGTTTAGCGCTTCTTTTTTTATAATATAATAATTATACTCCTGTAAATCACCAAGCCCATAAGGATCATTCAGTACTACACTCCTCACTTTGGCCTCTGCCCACATGGAGTTGTACAACACCTTGGAATAAGTTAAGAACTGATCCAATTCTTTGAATTAAAACTCCTTCACCAACACTAAGTTGTCCAAATGGCACATACATACAAACAAGATAATTTCACCACATCACAGCCATATTGATCTTTACTAAGGTTCCCCTCAAGGAAGGTTCCTTGATGCTGGTGAGGGGCTCTTGATCTAGGGAATTGGATCTGTGCTTCAGTTCCCTGAATTAAACCTGAATACCTTCCACATCCCCCCCACAGGCGCTGTATAATTCTACAGGTTTAGCGCTTCCCCCCTTGATTATAATAATTTACTAAGGTTGTCTTCTCTATGAAAGCTACAACCCTAATTGTTCACAGAAACATCACTGTTTTGTTTACTGTTTGTAATAACTAACACTTAAAAGGTAAAGATTTTTCTCCATATTTATTCAATTACACCTATGACAACTGCCCAATTGTCAAAGTAATAAAGATTTGAATTGCAAGTGTATCATCCAACGAGTTACACATACAGTAGTTTAGATAATCTAATTATTCCATTAATCTAGTTACTCCATTAATGTTTAATCCATGCAATAGGTGGTCAAGTCCAATTCCTTAGATTAGGAGCCCATCATCATAATATACTTACCTTATAGGGTAAAAACAAAAAATAAGTATGATTAATTTGATAACCTAAGCTATGCATAACTCGGATGATACACATTTCAGGGCGAATACTATTTGTTTTTACTTTGATAACTAGACAGTTTTAGCCAAGAGTTAATACTAAGGATTTAGCCCAAATTTCAATTTAAAAAACATGGGAAGAAAATGAAAATACTCAAGTATTATTATTAATTATTCTCATAATCACAATAATTGTGCCAAGCTTGCAGTGGTTTGTAAAGCACTACAATATACCGAGTTTACAAAAAAAGGGGAGGGATGGATGTTGGAAAATACATTGTGTGCACAGGTATTCTTTTTTAAAAATCTCTGAAACAAATATAGCTACATGTCAATCATACACTTCCTTTCAATAGTTTGAATTCTACAAATACCTATACATATGACTGCCAAAAGTTTGGGGAGGAAACCATGGCTCATTCCTGGCCAAAAATTTAGCAGAAATCACTTTGAATTACATGTGATTACATTCAAATTATAAAATACTGATGAACATAACTAAAATCTTAACTGCAGTCTATTAAGAATACCACACATAATACTACAAATGAAAAAAGGAGACATCTGAAAAGAAAGACATTAGCAGCCAATCATTCTAGCAATACTCTGTTTAGAACTATAGTATTATGTAATACAATCCCTCTACAATTATATAAAACAGAAATTAAAAGTGATTTTTTTTTTTTTTTTTTTTAGTAAAATTTACATGACACTTGGGTGAATGTTCATATCTACAAATGACCATAAGAATTCAAGGATCTCATTTGCATTGCGCATAACATCTATTTTCACACATTCATTCTTAAGTACTCCAGAAACTTACATGTATGTAAAATTGAACCTGAAAAAGAAAAGAAAAAACAATCAAATATATATTACATGAAATTTCACATTTTAGCTATTACTAATCCAATATAGTACTTTTTTTTTTTTCCTCGACAAGTCGGCCGTATCCCACCGAGGCAGGGCGACCCAAAAAAAGAAAGAAAATCCCCAAAAAGAAAATACTTTCATCATTCAACACTTTCACCACACTCACACATAATCACTGTTTTTGCAGAGGTGCTCAGAATACAACAGTTTAGAAGCATATACGTATAAAGATACACAACACATCCCTCCAAACGCCAATATCCCAAAACCCCCCTTTTTAAATGCAGACTTGTATTCCCATTTCCGGACTCAAGTTGATTTTGAAAAAAACCCGGTTTCCTGAACCCCTTCACAAAATATCCCCTGCCACACCCCCAAAGACTTTTAAAATAAAAATGGTTCTGAAAAAAATTTATGAAGGAAAAATTATTCCCCAACATATCACCTACCTTAAAAAGGGGAGATTTAAATTAAATAGCGACTTAATTATGTTTTTCCTTACTATACGTAGGGCCCCACTTATCGGGGGGTTTTAGGTTCCAGGCTGCCGCCAGAAAGCAGACATCCCCGGAAGGGAACGCCATTTTTTCCATTTATAAATGATATAAATGCAGACAACAAGTTTACACTAAATTTATTAGTTAGTAATGAACTGGTTAAAAAACCACAAATTTTAAAATTCTTTCCCAGTAATTCATTATTTCCAAAAGTATTGTAATCTTAATGTGGGGGAGAGAGGGGGTTTGTACTTATTTGTAGGAATCGGTGAAAGTAGCCCTGGCTTCCCGTCTCGTTTTTAATATATGAATTTAAAATCCCCGAGTTAAAATACCAATGTACACTCACTTTTTCCCTTAAAATATGTGTATTTTTTAATATAGGAAGAGAGGCGAGTAGTTTTTATTTGTGGAAGTCAGTGCGGGTTTTTCTTTTTCTGTCTCAAAAACCGCTAGATAACAGGGATATCTTGCTAATCCTCTTACACTTTGGTCCCCTTCACAGAACGCACATGCTATATTTATAAAATTTACATCTAGGTTTTTCTCCTTTTTTAAATAGTCTTGTTTTTTTTATTTTTCTATTGCCCATGGGGAAGTGGAAAAAAAATTTTCCCTCCGTAAGCCATGGTGTCGTTGGGCGATAAAATCCGGGGCAATGGGCTGAAACCCTTTCCTGTTACATTTACTAAAAAAGAAAAGGGGAGAAAAATTTATAAAACTGGGATGCTTAAATGTGGTGGATGTAGTGCGGTGACAAGAAAAAGATGATTTCTGATGTTTTGAATGAAAAAAAGTTGGATGTCCGGCTTAAGCGAAACAAAGCTGAAGGGGGGGGAGGAGAGTTTCATGGGGGAAAAAAAATGGGGTTAAATCTGGAGTATTGAGAGAGTTAAAGGGAAAGGAAAGGGGTTTGCAGTAATGTTAAAAGTCGTTTAAGGGGAAAGGGGAAAAGAGAATTGAATGTGTAAATTCAAAAATTTGTGGATTAAAGTAAAGGTTGGGTGCGGAAGTGGGTCATAATAGCGTGTATGCCCTGGAGAAGAAGGAATGCAGAGGTGAGGGAGAGAAAATTTTGGGAGATGTTAAAAATGAAAGTTAGGAGCCTTTTAACCAAATGAGAGAGTAATTTTGGTAGGGGACCTGAATGCTAAAGTAGGAGAAACTTTTAGAGGGGTGTGGTAGGGAAGTTTGGGGTGCAGGGGTAAATGATAATGGGAGCCCCCCTTTTAAATTTAACTTTGTATAGAAAGGGGTTTTGTTTAGGAATACATATTTTTTAAGAAAAAGAGGATAAAAAAAGATAACGATATGATGAGGGCGAAAGACAGTAGTTTGTTGGATTATGTATTGGGAGATAAAAGACTGTTGAATAGACTTCAGGATGTACTGTTTTTTTGAGGGGCCACAGATATATCAGTACTTTCTATTGTAGCTACATTAGAGTAAAAAGGTTTTGATGGGTACAAGGAGAATAGAAGATCAGGAAAAAGAGAGGTGAAGGTTTTTAAACAAAAGGGAGGGAGTTAGGGTAAGATAAAACAGCTATTGGAGGATAGAGGGCAAGAGAGCTAGGCAATGGGGGCAAAAGGTATGGGGTAGGTTTAAAAAAAGTGTGTTTGAGTGTTAGAGAAGTTTTTGGTTACAGGAAAGGGGTTTTCAGGGGGGGAAAAAGGAGCGATTGGTGGAATGATGATGTAAAGAAGTAGTAAGGGAGAAAAAGTTAGCATATGAGAATTTTTACAAAATAGAAGTGATGCAAGGAGGGAAGGTATATGGAGAAAAAGAGAGGGTTAAGGAGTGGTGAAGCAATGAAAAAAAGAGCAAAGAGAGAGTGGGTGAGATGTTATCAACAAATTTTGTTTAAAATAAGAAAAAATTTTGGAGTGAGATTAACAAGTTAAGAAAGCCTAGTAACAAATGGATTTGTCAGTTAAAAATAGGAGAGGAGAGTTATTAAATGGAGAGTTAGAGGTATTGGGAAGATGGAGGGAATATTTTGAGGAATTGTTAAATGTTGATGAAGATAGGGAAGCTGTGATTTCGTGTATAGGGCAAGGAGGAATAACATCTTGTAGGAGTGAGGAAGAGCCAGTTGTGAGTGTGGGGAAGTTCGTGAGGCAGTAGGTAAAATGAAAGGGGGTAAGGCAGCCGGGATTGATGGGATAAAGATAGAAATGTTAAAAGCAGGTGGGGATATAGTTTTGGAGTGGTTGGTGCAATTATTTAATAAATGTATGGAAGAGGGTAAGGTTACCTAGGGATTGGCAGAGAGCATGCATAGTTCCTTTGTATAAAGGCAAAGGGGATAAAAGAGAGTGCAAAAATTATAGGGGGATAAGTCTGTTGAGTGTACCTGGTAAAGTGTATGGTAGAGTTATAATTGAAAGAATTAAGAGTAAGACGGAGAATAGGATAGCAGATGAACAAGGAGGCTTTAGGAAAGGTAGGGGGTGTGTGGACCAGGTGTTTACAGTGAAACATATAAGTGAACAGTATTTAGATAAGGCTAAAGAGGTCTTTGTGGCATTTATGGATTTGGAAAAGGCGTATGACAGGGTGGATAGGGGGGCAATGTGGCAGATGTTGCAAGTGTATGGTGTAGGAGGTAGGTTACTGAAAGCAGTGAAGAGTTTTTACGAGGATAGTGAGGCTCAAGTTAGAGTATGTAGGAAAGAGGGAAATTTTTTCCCAGTAAAAGTAGGCCTTAGACAAGGATGTGTGATGTCACCGTGGTTGTTTAATATATTTATAGATGGGGTTGTAAGAGAAGTAAATGCGAGGGTCTTGGCAAGAGGCGTGAGTTAAAAGATAAAAATCACACACAAAGTGGGAGTTGTCACAGCTGCTCTTTGCTGATGACACTGTGCTCTTGGGAGATTTGAAAAAAGAAGCTGCAGAGTTTTGGTGGATGAATTTGGTAGGGTGGGGAAAAAGAAGAAAATTAAAGGTGAATACAGGAAAGAGTAAGGTTATGAGGATAACAAAAAGATTAGGTGAGAAGATTGAATATCAGATTGGAGGGAGAGAGTATGGAGGAGGTGAATGTATTCAGATATTTGGGAGTGGACGTGGTCAGCGGATGGGTCTATGAAAGATGAGGTGAATCATAGAATTGATGAGGGAAAAAGAGTGAGTGGTGCACTTAGAGTTTGTGGAGACTAAGAACTTTGTCCTTGGAGGCAAAGAGGGGAATGTATGAGATTTATAGTTTTACCAACGTTTTTATATGGGGGGTGAAGCGTGGGTGATGAATGTTGCAGCGAGGAGAAGGCTGGAGGCATTGGAGATGTCATGTCTGAGGGCAATGTGTGGTGTGAATATAATGCAGAGAATTCGTAGTTTGGAAGTTAGGAGGAGGTGCGGGATTACCAAACTGTTGTCCAGAGGGCTGAGGAAAGGGTTGTTGAGGTGGTTCGGACATGTAGAGAGAATGGAGCGAAACAGAATGACTTCAAGAGTGTATCAGTCTGTAGTGGAAGGAAGGCGGGGTAGGGGTTCGGCCTAGGAAGGGTTGGAGGGAGGGGGTAAAAGGGGGTTTTGTGTGCGAGGGGCTGGGACTTCCAGCAGGCATGCGTGAGCGTTTTTGATAGGAGTGAATGGAGACAAATGGTTTTTAATACTTGACGTGCTGTTGGAGTGTGAGCAAAGTAAAAATTTATGAAGGGATTCAGGGAAACCGGCAGGCCGGACTTGAGTCCTGGAGATGGGGAAGTACAGTGGGCCCGCACTCTGAAGGAGGGGTGTTAATGTTGCAGTTTAAAAACTGGTAGTGTAAAGCACCCTTCTGGCAAGACGTGATGGAGTGAATGATGGTGAAAGTTTTTCTTTTTCGGGCCACCCTGCCTTGGTGGGAATCGGCCAGTGTGATAATAAAAAAATAATAAACAGTGTAGGTAGCCGGTAGGTGTAGCCTGCCTGGGCTACACCTACCGGCTACCTACACTGTGGCCCAGAGCCATATTATTAACATCGACATATCTTGTTCACTGAATTTAATCGTTTCTAACAACTACCTTTAGATGTCATCATAAACGAAGGGAGAAGTAATGAATAATTCATGCCGAAAATTGTAAACAAAAGCGGAGTGGGGGAGTGGCTGGGCCAAACGCAGATTCATACACGTTTTCTCTGATGGCTGAGCAGAGAAGACGTAATGTTGTCCCTCCACCCAACTACCACACAGCTCCACAAGTATTATTATCAGAGCACATATAAAATATGCAATAAATGCCAGACAACAAGTTTACAAAAACTTATATTAAGTTAGCAATAGAAATAGGCATTAAAAACACAATAAAAGGTAAGATACACAGAATACACTTATTACTTGCCTTAAAATATTAATATTAATGTGTGAGAGGTGAGTGGCAGGGTGTTTATTGAATAAAATCAGTGGCACACCATACCCTCTAACCGGGGCATTTAAAGCAAGGGGGTTTAAACCCCTTTTTTAATCACGCTAAGTTTAGACGCCATCGTCAATGGAGCAATTTAAACGAAAGAGTAAATGAGAGAGAGAATGAGATACAGGTTAACCAATGTAAAAAAAAAAAATAAACAGGTAGTGGGCGATCACTTGGTCAGGCAAAAATAAATGCGTATTAATGTGTGGTATTTTTAATTCTTCACGTACATTTGTAAGAGTTTGTAAAACTTTTCCCTAAATTTTTTTTTATTATAATAATAATTACTCAAAATACAAAATTTTTACATTGTGTACAAGTTGTACAAGTTGTCAGAAAAAAACAAACAGAAAACCACCATTTTTAGAGTAAATGAAGATTGTATTATTTTTATCATCTCATCATAAAAAAAATACAAAACCCCAAAGGGGTGGGAAATGCTATATATAGAGAAAAGGCATACGAAAAAAATTTTTTTTACAGTTACCCCCCAGTTGACTAGAAAAAAAAAATTTTCCCCAAAATCCCACACGTGCTTTGTAAAAAATTCTTTACAAAATTTTTATTCTGTGAGGTATGTATGTTTATATGCTATCTAAGAGTTTATATATAATTTTGGGGAAAATATCTATAGGTTTAATAAAAAATGCCTATTTAAATGTAAAATAAGAATTTAATGTCCCCCAAGATGTTTATTATTATGTAGTATTGGCATCACGAGTAGAAAGACTTAGCGATTTTATGTGTCTGCACACCGAAGTGTGAAAGTTTATTTAGGTAAGGTACACAAAAGTAAAATTATCGAGTACTTTAAAAATGCAGAACTTTAAACATTTAAAAATTTTGGGAAATTTTCCCTGACTAACAATGTGGTCACGGAGAATGTAAAAAAACCGGTGGGGGTGCCGTTTTGGGAAAAATTTTTTGGTCATAATTGATCGCGGTTCAGCAGAACCCCCTAAAGCGGGGCCCTACTGTATGAGTTTTTTTGCATGTATAATTTTATACTATAATTTTAAAATTTCAAAACAAGTCACAAGTTACAAAACATTTTTTTAAAATTGGATTCATTACATTAAGTATCGCTACAAAAATGACGACCAATTTTATTTTTGCCCAAAATCCTTGTTTCGGGGAGTGTGAAACAATTTTTAATAGGGTACAAGGAAAACTTGCAAAATATGGTATCGTTTGGGTATCTTTAAAAAAAATTTATATATTTTCTGGCCAGGATATTAGAACTGCAGTTATTTTTACAGAAAGGGTCACAATGATGTCGATGTCCACTCAATGATTAAAGAAGAAGAAAAAAAAAAAAAAGCCACTGTATGGGTGGGGTTAGCACTTTGGCAAATGAGTTGTAAACCCCAGCCAGTGCATCAGCCACTGGGCCTGCTGGCTACAATAAGATTCTTCCAACTAGGTTTATTTATATACCATAGGGAGGTTAGCATGGGGGCACTGTGACCACAAATGCAATTTTTAAAAGGGGGGGGGGATTAATTTCCCCTGCAGTGGGGCCCTGACAAGCCATATGGCAGGAGATTCATCTGCTAACCTTTCCCTAGGGTGTATAATATACCTGTTAGTTAATCTTTTTTGTACCAGCTGGCCTAGTGGCTTAAACATTCTAATTGTAAAGAAAAAAAAAAAAATTATGCTCTTAGTTTCCAGGTTTCAAAGACTTGGAAACCTCTAAATTTCAAAAATTTATAATCTCTCTTCTTATTTTCCCACTTTAGTAAAGGGGGGACAATTATTAAAAAATTAGTAAAAAAAAAAAAAAACCCCGATTTTTAGTTTTTCTGAAAATGTGAGTATCCTTCGCACTTGGGTCAAATTATAAAAACAGATTTTGTGTTTATTTTATGGTAGTAAATGATAAAAAAAAAAATTTCCCTACTTTTATACATTCGGACTACTCAAAATTTTCTAAATTTTTTGGGTTTCAAATATCCAAAATTTTTAAAAAAATATTTATTAAAAAAAAAAAGTATAAGTGAACCTCACAGTTCAAACCTGTCTGTTCGAGGGTAACTGTATTTTAACTAGATTTGGGAATTTCAATTCACACAAAAAAATAAAAAAAACCAAGAGGGCACCATCTTATGGATAGAGGAGATGGGAGGAAAGAAGAAAAAGAGAAGAAAAGAAAAAGTTCGGATTTAATCAAATGAAAAGAAATACAGTGGGCCCTCGGTTATCAGCCCTAATCAGTTCCAGGTCGGTCGATAATGAAATGGCCCCAAAACCAAATTTTTCCCTAAGAATTAATGGAAATACTACAATTAAAACGTTCCAGCAAAAAAAATTCACAAAAAAAAAAATTCTTTTAACAATTATGTAAGTATTACATACCTTTTTTGAAGGCTAATGCGGTTCTGGAAGATGGGAAGAGGAAAGAGGAGGAGTTGTGTTCGGAAGGGGGAAACCCCCCCTTTTAAAGATTTGGTGCAAAGCCTTCTCGGGGGTTTCTTCCTTTTTTTGTTTTTAATGCCCCTAGGGCCAGCTTGAGAGTCACTGGGCCCTGTTGCACAACAAATCTGTCCATGAGGTCTTTTCTGGTGTCTCTTAAGATTTCCTGAAGTGGGCGGGTTTTTTTCACTGAAACATGTTGCAGATTGGCTTGTTTTAGCTTTTAATCTGTCATTTACGCTACGTACATTATTACTTACCTTAAATATTTGTGTCTTAAGCAGGGGAAGAGGCGAGTAGTATTTTTTGTGGAAGTAAGTGTAGGTAGCGGTAGTGAGGTACAGTAACGTATGTAGCCCCCCCCTCCCCGGGCTACAAACTTATTTTTACACACACAGCCATAGTATTACCTGTTTACCGAGTTTTAAACGTTTTAACAATCCTTTAGATGCATCATAAACAAAAGGAGAAATAATGAATAATCATGCCGGAACTGTAAACAAAAACATAGAAGGGCGGTTATGCACCAGTCGCCAGATTCACAGTTTTGGGCTAATGCGCTCAAAAAAACGTAATGTTTATTCCATGATTCCACTCATACGTATAAAAAATTGCATGTTTATATGTAGTGTTTGTAAGTGTTTTTATATAATTTTGAAGAAAATTTAAAAGATGGGTTATGAAAATGTCAAAATTTAAAGAAAGTAGAATTTTTTGTACCAGTGTTATTAAAAAATACATGCACATAAACATGGCTTTCTTTTACACATGTACTATGATGTGTTTCTTTGGGCCCTGGTTTCTTATTTGCGGTTGCACTCAATCAATAAACCCCAAAAAACAATGGATTTTAGCAAAAGTTTGGATGAATGAGCAAAAAAGTTTCCCCACTCGCCCCGAACAGCCCCAAATACGCTCAACCGGGTGGGGCCCGGGGGACAAAAAGTGTCCCCAAAAGGCCCAAACACCCCAAATTTTAAAAATGATAAAACCGGGGGCCGAAAAAAATGGCCCATCACCGGTTGGCCAATAACAGAATGCCCAAAAAACGGGGGTCCACTGTATCTAGGAAGAACAGTCTACTGTATAAGTGCCCAAGGTCTAGGATCCTTCATCTTATTACAGTATAATGCTTACATGAGTATAATCACAT